ACATTGATGTTTAAATCATAATTTCATAGGTAACTTGATTGTTTCACAAGATTCATTCTGAATATAATTAGCTAACATGTATTCAACCTCGCTCATGATTCATATTAATCAAATTAATTTCTTGGTCTACAAACAACGAATAATAGAAGTATTTATTGTTGGTCGATGTGAGTATAAAATATTAGCTAGTCGTTCTCGTTTACAAAGTAACTTGATATTAATTCTACAGTTCCATGCTGCCAATTTTTAGCGAAGGGTAATGTGTTGAACAGTTCTATCAGAAAACGAAAATCATTCCATCATACTCAAAGCAAGCAAACCAGATGACACTAATTTTGAGACGATTCATGGCATAACTCTGGATGAACTAGGATGGTCTCAACCGATATTCAAAAATCCGTGTGAAAGAGCCTAAACCTAATGAAATCAGCGCTGGTTTTCAAATCGACAAGAGCAGATACTACACTTAGATCTTCGCTGAAAAAGCCGAGCAGCGATAGCTATTTTTTTGTTTTGCTATAAGAAATCTTCATTATGAGATTGTCATTTCGCATTTAAAAAAAGTAACAATGAAAATAAAATTAACAATAACACGAGATGGTTTTATAATAGTGAGTGTAACCATTTGGTATCATACAGATCACTATTCAAAAAAATTGATTTATCTCAATCATTGTTCAACTATCTTACATCGAACAAAATTTATCTCTAGAGTTTTTATAAAAAATGGTGAGAACCTTGAGATAGTAATCTGAATTACACCAGTTAGGGTGATTCGAATCATTCCAACTGGAGAGAACTTTGAAAACCTCTAGTATTTCTCGAGTAGGTTTTCAAGTATTGTTCCTCAAACAAGAAAATGTTCGTCTCATTGTTCTCTATCTTCTCAAGTGAAACGAGACAAACATGAACTAATTTGGTCGATTATCAATCGAAATTATGAAGCATAAACAAAAAAGAACATGTTTTTTTCGAGTCATCCTTCCTATCTTTGGATGAATATTTCATTTTTATGAAAAGTCTCACGAAACAAAAATAACTCGATGAAAAATAAACTACTCTCTCTTGATAAAAAAGAGAACTTGAAACCATCTATCAATTCTCTGAAAATAGAAAATCCTGTTGTGTGGATGAGATTAAAAATACTAATCGTATAATCATTAATTTATATAGTTCTATAGTATATGTCTCTCTTTCATTAGTACGTAGATTAACGGTACATACATTGTTTAATGAATTTGGCTTTGATTAAATCAATGCAAGATATAATAATTCTGACTGATATATTCATTATGTTATACGTATTTCTTACATCTTCTCCACAGAAAAGGATACTTGATCTTATGTGGGACACATTTCTCGATGTCCAAACACTTACGATCAACATGTACTTTCTTTTTTACCCAAAATGAGTTGAATCGATTAGTTTGATGTAAATATAGTTTTATAATAATTGAACATTACAATATACGAGTAGATTATTTTGTTGATGATATACTTATAGTATATTTCTCATAGAAAATGAATATTCTGAAACAAGTCAAAACAATTTCAATTCAACAGTGATACTGACAATCTTTATTATGATGGTATTAAGAATGCTATAGATTTTTTTATTTTACAATAAAGCATGTCCTTCAGACCATTTTTCACGGCGATATTTCTTTTGTTTTTCTGACTTTGTTACGTCTAACTATACCATCATTCGAGATCATTAGTATTTAACATATGGAAATCTTGGTTTATTAAATTCATGTAGAATTATTCTATAAATAGTTATTTAAAATGAAAAGTATTATCAATAAATTTTATGTCAGAAGAAACTAGTGCTAATTATTTTCAGTTTTTTTTCTTTGTTATTACATAATTACATTATCGTCTAAGATAATATTTATAGAAATATCATGACATTTGTCGATCTCTATAAGAGATGATTCTATTTAATTTTCAAGTTTGATTGAAAATTGTTCAAAATTCTCTGCATATTGTTTTATTTTTCTTTTATTAAAATCATCATAATTGGTATACTTGAATGATGATAACATACAATACAATAGTTATTCACACTCTGGTGTCTTTTTTGTTTTTACAAAAAGAAATTATTTTCCTAACTCATTTCCCTATTATGAATGAATGTTTCATTTTTAGGAGAACGAGAAAGTTTTATTTTTGTCTTTGCTCATAAAACTTTTCGAAATCTCAAAAATATAACATATTCTTGAAATATCGATGACAAACGAAAAAAATTTTAAAAAAATGTTTTTTTTATATTTCTTCTTCAAAAACTACTTTTTTTATCATTTCGATGATAGTTGTTGTTTTAATTTATTTTTCAAAATATCTTCTACAAAATGAAACTGATTGATTGATGAAATCCTAGCAAAACGAAAAATGAAAAAAAATTGACGTTTCTCTATAAGTGAGGGTAGTCGAACAAGTATTTATTTATCGATAAATACAAAATATAATGATTTCGGAATTTAAAATGTTCTTGTCTCAAAAATGAATTTTTAGAATTAGTAGTTTTT